GAGGCAGAGTTTCTCTGCCCCGGGCTTCCTGGAATCAGCCGCTGATCAGTTTCAGCAGCAGCTGACTTGGAGATGCTTGGGGTTCTTAAGTTGATTCTGTATGTAAGTCGGAACTGGAGGTCAGTTTCAGCAGTGGCTGAATTTGGACGCCAGTTCCGACTTACATACAGATTCAACTTAAGAACAAACCTACAGTCCCTATCTTGTACGTAACCCGGGGACTGCCTGTATATTATATTATAATCGCAATGTTAGGATATTGATCTACCCTAGATCTCAAAACATCATTAACAATATTCCCTTAATTCTCTTTTTTCACCCATAATCATCCTTCTTTCTCCCTTATTTTATAAATATAATGTATTGACTATCAAGGTTATAATCCAGTCTTGTAGACATTCATACTATATTATCTGAAGTTATCAGTTGAATCTTAACCTGGCGTTATGAGAAGATCATGTTTTATTCTATTTCTAATGCCTAAAAGATTTCCAACATACATGAATAATTGACTGAAATGGTCTCTGAGTTTTCTGTGTAGAAACTGAGATACTCCTTCTACCAGAAGTAATACCACAGCAAGCTTAGGGAGTGTTGCTGTAATAATTTTATAGATATTTGCAAAGACCCTGATCTAGCTCATCATCCACATTAGTGCTTGATGGCACGTTAGCATGAAACTAGCATAGACATTTTCATTTAATTGATGAGCGGGAAGCAAAAGTGAATTACAATACAGGCAGAACAGTCACGGGCCCCATTTATATTACAATATTCCCAAACACTGTTAAAAGGCACACGATAATAGATACTTAATATCAGTGATATTAAGATGGTGCAAGTTTTAGTTCTGAGTCTCCATTTCATTTGTAAACCAGTGTTGTAATTACATTAAGGCCAATATTGATATACTGGCATAACTGAATAGAAAATCAAGCCCTTTGCTTCCATCTTTTTCATAATTAGCAGTAAAAATCCACATTATACACACATGTTGATAAACTTCCTTGTCATCATGACTATCATATACACTTTGTTCTGTTTATGTTTGGGTTTTTTTTAGTGAAAGAAATAATGAGAGAAAAAGGAAAGGAACTGGGTGACAAGACTACATAGCACTTGGCATAAAATCTGTTACTATCGAAGCATGAAATGGCATAAAGTGATTTTATTTTCTTTCTATAGCTTGTTTGGCCTGTGTCTCATACCCGAAGGGATGAGTGCAAGTGGGCTGGCAAAGATATTCTGGTAAGTACAAATATTTATAATAGCGTTTTGGTTTTGGTTTGTTTTTGTGAAGGATTTTAATATTGCATGAACTCTAGTGTTAATATTTAAAGCACTTATTTTTCCTAAGATTACTCTTCTTATCATAGCATGAGACTTGGGTCACATCAGGTTTTTTGGCTGGTTGGGTATTTTGGTCCAAAGAAATGAATTCTTAAGTTTAAATGCATGAAGAGAATTAAAATCATGCAAACTAATTTTTGCAGAGAGCAGGGGCAGATGACCGTTCTGCGGGGCACTGGGCAGTATATTTCGCGGGGCCCCCTTTGCCACGGCGCATGCGCGGTGACGCCATGCGCATGCGCCGTGGCAGCACGGCGCATGCGCGGGGCTTTTTGAGGCGTGGGGCCCGGGGCGGCCACCCCATTCGCCCTGCCCTATATCCGCCCCTGGCAGAGAGAATACTAATTAATAAATCACCCACTAAAGAGAGAATCATTGATTCTTTTTTAATTTATTTCTGATTTCATTAATTTTGTAATTACTTAGCCCCCATAATGCAATAAGCTCCCTGGGGACCCTCGTGTGCACCTAGCACTTCATTGAAATAGTCCTCCATGCAGGGTTTCCTAGGTTTCTGCCTGTATGGAGCTCACTGCAGGGTTGAAGACTAAATGGTTTTAACTTTTTGTATCAGTTTTGGTGCCTCAAGAAAGAAACAAGCATATAACACATGCTTTGCTATATCTTCCATCTGTCTCTTACTCACATATCTCCATCTTTGTATACATGAGAGTGAGAGAGATTGGGCTTGTGTCCTAACAATACTCTTAGGGTTTGTCTAGACTGCAGTGTTTTTTTTCAGAAAAACAGCTGTTTTTCTGAAAAAAAAACCTTTGCTTACGTCCACACTGCTATTGCGTTCTTTTGAAAGAAAATTGAAAGAACGCAGGGGTTTTTCTAACATTGATAAACCTCATTCTACAAAGAAGAATGCCTTTTCCAAAAGAGCTCTTTCGGAAAAAGGCATGTGTGGATGCGGAAGAGGGAGTTTTTTCGAAAGAAGAGTAAAGAGGAAAAAGCACAGGTGCCCTGGTTGCCACTTCATCCACAGCAATCACAGCTTAAATGTGAGATAGCATCCATTCAGTGAGGGTGCTATCTTTCAAAAAATCAGATTGCTTTTTCGATGTGTTTGGCAGTATGGATGCTCTCTTTCGGAAGAAGTTTTTTCGGAAGATCTCTTCCAGAAAAGCTTCTTCCAAAAGAAACCTGCAGTCTAGATGTACCCTTAGGGCTATGATTCCCAACCTTTTTCCCATGGAGGAATCCTTAAAATAATTTTTCATATCCTGAGGAACCCCTACCTATAAAAACGTTTGCTTGGCCAGAAAAAGTTGACAGAGGAGAGCACAATTCAATTACTGCTAAATTATTGTCAAGAAAATTGATTTGTAAAGAGTTGCTTATATATCTATATATGTCAGCTTATATGTAAGAAAAAAAAATTCCACAATTTCTCGCGGAACCCCTGACGATGGTCTGTGGAACCCCAGGGTTTTGTGGGACTCTGGTTGGGAACCACTGCCTTAGGGCATGTCTACATTTGGAAGTTATTTTGAAATAACACCCCTTATTTCAAAATAAGAAGGTGAGCATCCATACTACCAAGCCTGTTATTTCAAAATAATGGGCTTGTTATTTTGAAATAATAACTCTTGCTTGAGAAGAGGAATACATTTATTTCAGAATAGTTATTTTGAGAGTTATTATTTTGAAACAACCTAGTAGTGTTGACATAGCCTTGGTGAATAGTGATAGTCAAGTCCTGTCTTCCATTATACACACACAGGATACGTATACACAATAAGACAAATGGACATGCTCACAGTGGGCCGAATGGGAAATCAGTGACGTAAAAGTATGACTGAAAGTGGAATTTGGCACCATATGTATACATTACTGACCTGAATTTCAGAGATGCTTCACTAAAATATTCATAACGTTGATCTTATGCCTCTGAAGAACTGTGTTCTAATATTGTCTTGGTCAGAAGTGAAAGTGGGTTCACTGGCTTAACCTGGCCCCTAGAGGACAGTTGTTGACATCAGAAAACCACTTCTGGAGCAGCAGAGGTAGTTTTGGTCAGGACTGACATATATAAGCAGAGCTGTGTATGTGAAGAAGGAACTCATGATTTCCATGTGACTGGCTATAGTATGAGTGTCTCTAGCCACTTCATAGTCCCTTGATTTTTCAATCACTACATCTATTTTTTACTCAAACCTATGTATTCATAAACACTTCCCTTAGAAATAGTCTATGAACTAGAGAACAGAAAATCTAACCTACAGGATAACCCCAAAAAGTGCTGGTTGGGTTGTAGAGTACTTGAAGACATTAAGTAATAACGGCTACCCAGAGGTGTACTAAGTATTATTATATTACAGTAAGCAACAATATCATGCCTTGAGGAGAAACTCCAAAATGTATAGCAGTGAAAACAAAGATGTTTCCCTTACTTTAAAAAAAATCTTTTAAAATTCACAGTAATAAAGTGGGGATGGTGGACAGGAAGGGAATATTTCAGACACTGCAGAAAATCGGTTTCCAATGTACTCATAGTAAGAGGCTATATTTTGTCATGCTGCCTCTGGAGCCATCCAGAAAGAAGATTGTGACTCAGCAAGTCACAATCTCACTTTCAATCACCTCTATGTGTATGTGTGTGTGTTACACTACAAGGGTACGTCTACACTCCATGCCTCTGTCGGCAGAGGCATGTAGATTTGTTTGTTCAGCAAAGGCAAATGAAGCTGCGATTTAAATGATCGCGCCTTCATTTACATTTACATGGCTGCCGCGCTGAGCCGACAAACAGCTGATCATCTGTTTGTCGGCTC